AACCCGAGCCAGATGTATGTCTGACGAATAAGTCCGATTTGTCTGAATTCCGCCTATCTAATTATACAAATGGTGATATTTAATGTTACGTTTTTCTTCAAATATAAATTCACAGTTAGGAACATAAGATCAAAACCTTATAGTACTTGATTTTTCAAACTGTTTCCCCAGTTTATGGGCAGGAACAGCTGATGTTTTGGTTAATATCAAGTATGATTCAACAATAACCAGACCCCACTGAATTATTCAGTGTTTCATTAATTAGTAGAATAATTAATGTCTTGTTTGAAGCTGAACATGCAGTATAATGGCTAAAAATAACACATTTTCTGCAAATAGAAAAAAAAACATGCTGAAACTTAATCAAACCCATCTAGACAACGCATATTGAAAACAATCAAGTAAAAGCCAGAGTCAAAGGGTCAAGAAAACGTCTTGCAAGGCTAAAGTTCTGAATCACCTCCAGGCGAATAAGCGTATAAATAGATGTACTTCTGTGTTATTGTTGAACACTTTGATCCACAATGTTTTGACTGTTGTGTTGTGACCACAAGGAGCTGAGGAGCAATGGAAAAACCTATTCTGCTCGGGCAATTCATTGCGATCAATGAACACTATATATCAGTTCAATTGCTCGAAGTAATAGCAGCGGGAAACAGTGTGAATGCGTTTGTTTTCACGTTATTCCACAGCATCATCACGACATGCCATTGGTACGATTGGTCGAATGTGACTCTAGAGACAAACAGTGATAACTTTATGAATTAAGTAAAAAGTCGATAGACAATTATATTATAGATTGAACTGGTGTGCGAGAGATCTGGTGCATCTTGCTACAAAGGAGGTATTTTATTCAGGCTAACAGTAAACAACAGTTATAACTGCCATTTTCTGCGGGATTTTCTTTCTCTCTCTCTCTCTTGATGAACATTGACCATGAACATCCAATGCTCCAACTTCACCCTTTTTCCTGGCGCATCCATGGTGATGGCAAGTCGGTTTTAGTCAACATCCATCTTTCTCGATTGGCAATTCACTTTCTCAAACATTTGTCTGAATTCTTAATGTTCTGGGCATCAAACAATCAGCAAACATATACACACCAACATGATATAGAATAGATAGATGAAACATTTTACTTCAATTTCTGAATATCAAGAAACTAAGCAAAATTAAGTAAAAGTTGCTCGAAAGACATAGTGAGACTCTAGCACCCTAAAGGATTCGTAGATACAAATGTATAATATATATAGAAGACTTTAATTTCAAGTAAAATTGATTGATAGATTTAGTATAATGAAACGCATTTCAAAATATGAAAGGTACAACATTGAAAACCAACTAAACTTTGCACCTCGCATGCGACCATGCTCTCATAATTCCGTTTTTGTTTTACAACAAAAAAATTTTGCTTTGAAAAATTAATCAGTGGGACATAACGCAAGTCAAAATTCATTAAATTACATATACACAACTGTTATTAGGTCCTCATCTTAGCATACTTCTGATGCAAATATTCTATGTCAGTGTAGAACAACTGTACGGAATCTGATATACGCAACCATTTTGAATATACCTCTAGCAAATAAGTATTCTTTTAGCAATGCCTCATCCCATACATTTCCCAGGCCTATATTTTTTTTTATTTCAAAACGGTATAATCTTAAAATATTGCTTAATTTATTGAAGTTGTAAATCTGTATTAACGAGTTCACATGCCAAAAGGATCGTATCAAATGAAAAATTTATCAATGCTAATATTAGTGTCGACTTATAACCAGCAGCCAATGCGATAAATCGTCACAACTCATTCACATACGTGGGAATAGTCGACTAGTTTTAGTATAATGTGGTATTTTTGTCAGAGTGTGTTATACCATCTGTCGTCTTGTTCATGGCCATTTGAGCAATAATCGGTGGAAACCATCTCTAAATATCTATTGCACCACTACAGGGCTGATAGTAATTTGAAAGCTTGAAACAGTTGAACAGGTTTGCCTCATTTGTTCGTATCACATGCAGTGCCAGAGCCCCGACAAGTGATTAAGTGATTATTATAATACATGACAAGCATTCGAATAAGCAAGATATGACACTCTGTACATAATGGCATTTTTAAATGCACAATGCCTTCACTGTTGTCATTTGCTATCAGTTTTCACAGCAAAATTATTTACTCATTTTGGAAATATTTGACATAATAAAACTTTGGAATATTATCAATAAGTGAGACATTAAATATCATAAAAAACTTCAGTGGGTAATGACATAAATATACAGTCATCAAGATGTTCAAACCATTGATAAACTAATACCTATCAGTCGGCCATACTGAAAATGTTCAATTACAAATTTGATCTTCAAAAATGTTATAGTGTTCATGATGCTAACTTGCCATATTAGACCAAAAAACATTTATCAGCAATGTGTCAAGAAAGTAGTATAGGTACAACTCCAGCTCAGTATCATCCATGTGAAATGGAGTTTGTCCACCAGTTTTTAAATAACTGGCAAATAGTCTGACCAAGATGTTTAGGTGAACATGACGTTCTGAATGATGCATGTGCACCCAACAGTAGCTGCTGAATCAGTCCGAGGTGTTGAACAGAAACAGGGTAGTAAACTTTGTTACAGAGGGATCAAGCCCACCATGCTCACATAGTGGAAGAATCTGTCACTGTAATAGTAGTAGTAGTGGGTAATAAGCACTTCCTAATGCATCATGCACTGGCTATATAATATAGCCTTAACGCAGAGGCAGTACAGACACTCTCCACTATAAATTTCTCAGCTGATATCTTGTTGCAATCTGTACACCTCATGCAGCCAAATCACAAAGATTGATGATTTTCCACTTCATTCAAATCATCACTGGATGCACATGTGAAAAAGAGACAACCATCTTGGTTACAAACAAACACTTTTGTCAAAATAACAGTGAAAACCCTGGTCAATCTTAGGAAACATTTGCAAGTTCTACAACACAAAGAGACTGAAGAATCACCTGTCAACCTATACTACTCTTTGCTTCATAGTAACTAATCTGTACTATCAGTAGACTGGGAGGAATCTTACAAATTGATAGTAATAGAAAAAGTAGTTAATAATAGTAAACACAATAGTACACAAGCTACTCAAAAACTAAGTTATACCTTGTACTGGATTACTAAATAACAGAAAATGCAGGTAAGCGAAAATACAATTAGCTCAAAATTGAAATTTTCCAGTATCATTTGATTTGTGTTTTTACTACAGAGATAATTCATTAACCCCTCCCCTCCTCAAATGTTCATATAAGGTAGCCACATTTCCATATATGGGGGAACATTTTGTATTAGGGCATTGCATTGCATAAATATATACATTTTTCATACAAGAATTGACATTTTCCTGATGTAGAGACATTTGTACTAGATGGAAAATTTAGATAACACTTCAATATTCAGAAAATCTGATAAAATCTCATTCAAACTGTACTGATATAAACAGATGATAAAAATACAAGTGTTTTGTAACAGATATTGGTATGATATTGACATCTGTTTTCTTTGTAAATAAAAGTGATGAAATGTGTTTATCTTGATTTACATTATTATTATTCATGACATCATCAAATTACAATGCACATTGCCTGACTTTATGTAAGAGCAAACCCTTATTTTATACACCCTTGGAACAATTCTGGTGTTCATTTTATTGTTATTCTGAAATGTTGTTTCTATTTAAAGTCAACCAAATCTAACAAAAAGACATTTCCTACATTTGGCAACACAACTCATCAAAACATAGAGAAACAAAATTTCTTGATTATGCCACATATAACGCATATAAAAAATGTTATCAGTAAGAATAGATTTCAGTTCAGATACATGACTGGGGAAATGCATTAAAAATCTGTTCAAATTCATTCATCTCAGATTTAGTAAATACCGGTATATTAAATCTTAGAATATACCATTGTAGCTTTTCTCAAGGGAAACAAAATGGCATAATCAAGAAATTAAGTCGCAGTTCTAAGTCGTGCCACTGACCTAAATAGGTTAACCTTTACAATGAGTTAAATGGATATAAAATGTATGGTAAATATCAATGATACTAATTAATTAATTAACTAATGAAAATAAATTACCTAAACCAGCTAGGAGTATGTTAATTAAGGCAGAGCAATGAGGAATTAGAAGTTTATGTTATTCAGAGTTCAGCCATATGTAACACTGACTGATCGATCGGGCAGAATCAGTCTTGGCAACAGGTGACTTTGAATATTTTTGTATTCTTTTTTTTTTGTATTCCAAACAAGTGCATGGGAATAAACGCTTGAACAACTCTAGAGGTACAAAAAATATCAATATAAACCAAACAGATCATTTTTTAACCAGAAATCATTTATGCTATTTATCACATTAGTTGATTTTTTACTTTATATCATGTTTTTATATAAAATATATAAATAAATGAAATACTAAACAATGAATAGTATGCACATTTAAAATAAAATGCAAAATACTTTGAATTGAAATGTGAAATGTCATCTGCGGCAAAGACTGATTGTGGGACCCTCAAGCACACAACCAATGCCAGTATATTGCAGAAATATATGCATACAGTAGCAGATCAACAATCTGTATATAGTCATGCGCACAGCCAGTTTCAGTATAATTTCATTGGTTGACAACTCTGAAAAGATAAATCAGTACTACATAATATCAACTGTTTTCAAAACATCCATAACAATAAATCTTCATTATTCACCATGTTTAGTAATGAAAATCAACCAATAACTTAGATGAGTTCCAATATAAACAATAACTGCATATGTATCCTACATTTCCCAACAAAATAATTACACTGGAAGAAGTATTACAATTTTAAAAACTTTAAAACATTCTGTCTCAATCTACAGTTAATTTTTGACTGGAACTGTTATGTATATAATACAATATATACATACCATATGCATGTCGATCTCTAAGTTGTGTCAGCCATCTTGGATTTGTTTGTCAGTGCTTTGTTCCCTCCAGTACAGACTCTAATGTAAACATCTGAAAAACAATCTTTTCGTAAGGAAAGTCTGTTGTGCCACACTCATAAAGACAAGCAAACAATTTATTTATTCCGCCATTTCCATCATCCATTTCGAAGTATGTTAGATCTGAGTATGCACTGGGTCCAGGACACAATGACCATGGAGCGCTCCACGTTTTACATCCATCTATGCTAAGACGTACGGATAAATTGATTCTGTTTTCTTTATCTGCCGGATTGGAGAACAATGCCCAGGTTTTTGAAAACCCATCTGGAACTCCTTCTGGTGCCGGGAATCCTAGGATACTTCCCTGCAAGATATATAAGACTGGTTTAATAACTGACATACATGAAATGATGCAATAGACAATAATCTTTATGAAAAAAAAATTCAATTAGTGCATTACTACCTATTTGTCAACTTTCAAATTGGCAAATAAATATGAAATATTTTGACATCATGAAGATTTCGGCTTACAACTCTTCCAAGGGGGATTTGGATTATAACACGAACTAAATCTAAGCCAATAAACTTTGTACTTAGTACTGAGCTACAACAGCAATTATTCTGTTGGAGTCCAGAGAGCCAACATGCGTTTACAAAGAAAAAATGTGAATACTCGATGGATTATTTACATTAATAGAGTCCAAAAAAGTACACCGAATGAACCAAAAATCATTCGTTACGGACATGCCTATGCAGGTTTGCCAGTACTATTTTAACACATTATCTACTCTATTGACATTGGCTGTTTGTTATAAAGTTTTAATTAAGTAGTTTTTTAGGTGATTTGGAAGGTATCGAATAAGTTACTGGCAGTAAATAGTGCAAGTTGTGCCCAGGTCAAAACTCATATAGAGATTTCCATCAGAAGAATGCATTTAATTGTGGAAAAATCAATGTTTATCAACACAATTGTCGCACATAGACGGCGTGACACAACGACCACCGCCCTTTAAATGATTTCAATTCACCTTACCTGGCAGCCACCAAAGTTTTTAGTACTCGGCATAAAACTACCAGTATATCCTGGCTCAACTAATTTATCCACAACTTGGGCTACTGTAAATGTCATACCATCATCTTTACTGAAGGCTTGTACACGTGGCATCTCAACACCTAATGTACGACAGTTTATGCATATTACACCATCATCAAGCTCTGTTACCTGTATACATAATATATAAATAAGTAAAGTCTCATAGATGAATTAAGCTCACTTAATAGCTAGACATTGTATATTCAGCACGATAGGGCATTTCTCTATACACAAAATATAAAGTCACTGTAACAATAGTTTTTTATATTTTCTAAATTCATTTTGTTAAATGTAAATAAAACATTGATGTACATATATACGTGTTGGTTGTTTTAAGTGAATTTCAATTAAATGTTTGACCAAGTTAGAAATGTCATACTGTCTCTACTGTTGTAAATTTCCTGCCTTATTTTATACTTGGCTGAATCTTTTAACACACTCAACAAAGGATTGACAACTGTCATTTTCAGGATTTACCTTTTCTAACACCAAAGTCAACTGTTTAGTATTTTTTTTTTAGCAACTGGAAAGAGTTAAATTGTAGACTGCAAGCCTACTATAAAAATATAGAAATTTTGTAATCTACTGTATTAATTTATAGAGATTCTTCCTTGCAACGCTGATTGCATTAATCAAGTAAGCACATTTTTTTGTATTTTAAATTGTATATTGTGTAGTCATGTACATATTTGTTAAGCGTTTTATTGATAAAGCCCAACCATTTGGGCCTAGATCATTAGTAGTGATTGTTAGATTGATCTGTTCCATATAATAAAATATAAGTGCACAGAAGTGCATGTAAACCAAAATGGATCAAACACACATGCACATATTTGCTTAATCAATTCAATTGGATTGAGATCAGTTTAAGAGCTGAATGAAAAATTCCATAAATTGTAAAATCTTTCTCATCAAAAACAATTATCTCTAATAAAGGTATGCAAACAACAATTTTATTTATTTTAATATACAGGATTATTAAAATATGATGTATTTTTGAGAAACACCTGTTATTCACATATATACACAGTATATATAGCTTAAAGTAATATGGCAGGGGTGTGAATTAATAATCTAAATAAATGCTATGTTTAGGAACCATGATGTACACATGTAGCATATGCACTTGTTCTGGAAATTTGATTGTAATAAAGCAAATACTGCACTTTAAAAATACAGTATAATCAGATGCTATGTATGTACATTCAGGGCACAATATGGTTAATGTAATATCAGATCATATTTTTCTAGTCTTAAAATATTAATAATTGCAAAACATATGGTGCCTTCACTTAGTCTGAAGAGCTGTTCCAGGAGTTTATGTCACTCCCTTTCCTTTATTGGGGTTAAATTTGATAATTTCAAAAATGTCATTGACAACAACATTTAAAAGGTTTATGGACAATATTATTAGGATTGCATTTGAATGTTGCATTTTGTTTATGGCATCCAACTTTATGTAGAGTTTGTTGTCCAAATATGGTATACCCCAGGTTTACACAGAACGATGCTGTAAAATATGTTAGGTATGATATAAACAGTAACTTTTGATATAAAACTTTGAATGTTACTATTACTGTAAAATACTTTATTTTCGTTCAGGTTTTATTTTTAATGAAGGGATGATTCAGTGAAAATAAAATCCAGGGAATATACCTTTTTTTCCTATATTTTACATTCAACTCTTCAAACAACAGTGAATATAAATCCCATACAAAAGACCCAAAGTTTTTTTTCTTGAAAATTATTAAGTATTTTACAGTATGGAAAATCAACAACTCAAGTATATTAAAATAAGTTTCTGAATTATGATTTTGTACACACTAGATACACAATTATACAGAATTAAACATCAAATTAGCATATTTGATAAAAAGAATACCATATTTAAAACAAAAACAAAATTAGCACAATTGAACATCAAATTAGCAAAAAATTAGCAAAAAATTAGATTAATAAACAGTCAAAAAAAAATATGAAGAAAATCACAATTACATCACATTTGCATATATAATCACAACATTTGCATAACAGAAATAGTTTACAGATTGAACTTCACATTTGTGCGACAAGACACCACATTTGCATAAACATCCATTTGACAGTTTTACCTGTGATTCATTACATAGTAAATATCGTCCCAGTTTATCAATCACATGATCAATCGTACCCCCAATGCACCATGTGACACCACCGTCATCGCTAAATAGCACTGTTGAGTAGCATGAACAGCCATTCATCCAATGAAAATGTGTCCACAACCAGGCCTTCAATTCCCCTAGAAGTCCTAAATGGGAGTTGGCATTAGGGATATTTATAAGTTTGCTAGCATGCAGTTATCAGGATGTTTAGGGAATCAGAAAGCAGGATACATGTATGTAACATTTTGAGCGTGTGTGCAGTGACGACTTTTTGACAAGAATCAGTAGTGTACATCCAAAGCTGAATCAACAGAATTGATCATTGCTCAGGTTATGAAATATACATTTATGTCTCAATCCCATAGATTGCACCACATGCTCATGGGTAATTAACTCTGCCTCTGTCCACTAAGTAAATGAATGCTTATTATGCTCGCTTACTCAAACTGTGATTGACATGCATTTTGCATACATTAGCCGCCATTTTAAACTCACAATTTGTACTCGTCAAAGCACGTTTTGTTGGAAAAACAACATTTATTCATCAAAAGCCCAACCAGATGAGTGTAATCGCTAGCGTACATATTCATGCCCCCTGTAGAAATGTATTTGGAATCACAGCTTGTTCTCTAAACATCGTAAATGGCACATTTCCCGGAGCCCCCGCCACGATATGAGAGGCTTGGTTCGGATTAGCATACTAATTTCGGTGGCCATCTTGCCCCTATTTATAATATTGGTTCCCCTTTAAAGGTGACGTCATTACAGCATATCTCGAGTTGATATTAAAGTGACATTAGACTTGCTCATGATGGTCATCAAAAATGTAAATTAATATTGTCACAATGGGCCTATAGTAAAAGTCAAAGATGTGCTATGCTATAGCAATTATTATAATAATACTTTTTTTCAAAAAACTAGGTCGAAAGGCAGTGGTCATCATGTTATGTTCCAAAATTGCATTGCATGGTGACCATTATTCTTTAAAGCGCTTGTGTAAAACAGGTGAATGTAATGTAATTCACAATGATGTTGTTTCACTGTACAGTTGTTCATGTAAATGTAATTTGAATTGGATATGTTATATGCAAGTATATTGGTCATGCTGTAAATGTAACATTAATTGGTCATGTCATGTAAATGTAAGACAATACATGATTCAAAGCTGTAATTACAACATAGTAAAGCTGAAAAACAAAACTATTAACATGCAATTTGACTGTCACCCTTCACCTTACAAGAAAAAAAAAACATGCAGTTAATCAAGAATTCACCTTAGAGGGCGCTATAACTCTAGTGACATGCTGGAAACAGGAGCTACCTAGGAAAGGTTGAATCAAGCAAAAACATTCCTTTCTTTTTAAACTGGAATTGAAGTGGATGTGGATACTTTTTCATTCATACTATAATTACTGAATTTTTAAATACTGATTCTCGACAGTTGTTTTCACAATCCACTTAAAAATAATTCTAAGGCATGATGATTTTTTTCGTTAAATTTGGATGCTAAAGTTCATCTGATTAAAATGGCCCAGAGAGTGCGATAAATACTGAATTGTCACAAATTTGGATATTCCCTTTTTATTGATTTGTTGTCATGAGCTTAAATCTAACCTGTCATTTGGCGTAACACAACTGTAGTGTATTTTCTGTTAACATATACATTAAGGCATAACACTTTACTAGCTCAAAGTTAATTAACATTAAAATCTACAGAATTTTCTAAAATCAAACATAATTGGATTTATTATAAGAATTTACTTTTAGTGTGTAAGAATAATTAAATTACACTTTTTTATGTACATACCACATATAATATTATGTATCTCAGTTTTTAGTTAAAATTTCAATTTCTAAGAGACAGAATTTTAAATTTTGACTTTTCAGAAGAGTTGAGAGTTGAGTTTTTCAGTTTGTACATGTGTAGGGGTAAATTTAAAAAAAAATATTTTTTTCTTGTACACTTATTGATTTAGGCTGAGATTTAAATTTTCTGAACACCGAATTTTCATTTTCATTTGATTTATATGCTTGCCCTTGATTATTGTGGGCAACAAGATGGCTGTTTTTGATTCAGTTAGCTGACAAATATTATTTACATTATTACAATTTGGTCAGGTCGTTAATACATTTTATCACTAACTATCAATTATTTTATTCCAAAAATTAACTGACTGACCTGCGACTCGTTAGCATGAATTGTTTTTCCTGTTTCCAGTTCACCCGCATTGGCCGTGGGAACACTGCCCCCAACATGCCATGAGGAGCCCCCATCATCACTATAGAACACATTGGAAGTACCCACAGCACCATAGAGAACGTCAAAGAATTCCAAAACTGCTGTTTTTATTTGCGGCCAAATTCCTGTGAATCAAACATTTTTATATTAATAGTGGTTTTAAAAAATTTAACAAAATTAACAAGAGTTTATCTGTTCAGATATATTTGGACAAAACTGGATACACTTTCCTATTAACAGGACTACCTAGCTTACATGTTAATGATATGCAAATTTATAGGCCCCCCTAACTGTGATAGAATAAATAGATATTGATACATACCAGGTTCAACTGGGTCTTTTACATAATAATTTCCGGGAACTATAAGGCGACCAGAGGACAACTGGATACCGTGACCTGGGCCTGAGTGAGGAAAAATCATGAATCTGAATAAACTTATTGCTCTTGATGATTCAACAATTTACAGTTGACAATTTAAAAAGATTACATTTTATCAGAAATCAATTATGAATATTTTTCAAAAATTTCACAACAAAATCACTGTCTGTCAACTGTTTGCTGTATACCATTTGAATAATTTATATAAAGGTTTGTTATACGTTTGGTCAGCATAAAAGGACAAGATGGTTATATGCTAATTAGTCAATTTAAATACAAGTTTACTAAATGCTGATTGGTTGGTATAAACACAAAAAGGTATATGCTAATTAGTCAATTTGAACACAAGTTTACTATGCTGATTGTCAATCTGAAAAAAATGGCATATGCTAATTAGTCAATTTGAATACAAGTTTACGAAATGCTGATTTGTGGATCTAAACACAAAATGGTATATGCTAATTAGTCAATTTATATACAAGTTTACTAAGTGCTGATTGGTCGGTCCAAGCACAAAATGATATATGCTAATTAGTCAATTTGAACACAAGTTTACGAAATGCTGATTTGTGGATCTAAACACAAAATGGTATATGCTAATTAGTCAATTTGAACACAAGTTTACTAAATGCTGATTGGTTGGTCTAAACACAAAATGGCATATGCTAACTAGTCAATTCGAACACAAGTTTATTAAATGCTGATTGGTCGGTCTAAACACAAAATGGTATATGCTAATTAGTCAATTCAAACACAAGTTTACTAAATGCTGATTGGTTGGTTTAAACACAAAATGGTATATGCTAATTAGTCAATTTGAATACAAGTTCACTAAATGCTGATTGGTCGGTCTAAACACAAAATGATATATGCTTATTAGTCAATTTGAACACAAGTTTACTAAATGCTGATTTGTGGATCTAGACACAAAGTGGTATATGCTAATTAGTCAATTCGAACACAAGTTTATTAAATGCTGATTGGTCGGTCTAAACACAAAGTGGTATATGCTAATTAGTCAATTCGAACACAGGTTTACTAAATGCTGATTGGTTGGTTTAAACACAAAATGATATATGCTAATTAGTCAATTTTAACACAAGTTTACTAATTGCTGATTGGTTGGTTTAAACACAAAATGGTATATGTTAATTAGTCAATTTGAATACAAGTTTCCTAAATGCTGATTGGTCGGTCTAAATACAAAATGTTATATGGTAATTAGTCAATTTGAATACAAGTTTCCTAAATGCTGATTGGTCGGTCTAAATACAAAATGTTTTATGGTAATTAGTCAATTTGAATACAAGTTTCCTAAATGCTGATTGGTCGGTCTAAATACAAAATGTTATATGGTAATTAGTCAATTTGAATTCAAGTTTACATAAAGCTAATTGGTCAGACTTACAAGAATGATTTATGCTAATTGATCAACACATGGCAAATTATGAAAAAAACACATTAAAATATGCAAATGATGAAGTGAACAATTATGTTATTGGTTATTGGGAAAACTTCTAATTATAGCATGACTATCAAGCAGAATACACTCAGATTATTGAACAGCATCCTCACCAGGTGAAAATATAGTCCATGCAGGCTCAACTTTTCCTAATGTTGTATCCGTGATATCTTGTGGATCACTCCACGTTATACCATTGTCTGTACTTTTCATGACAAATACTGTCTGATTGAAAACACCTTCTTTCAAAAGATCCGTCTCTGTGACATTGGATGGGAACGTATTGAAGACAACCACTACAGCCTTGTTTACATTGTCCACTATGGGAACAGGATTCATTGTTCTGAGAATGGAAAAACACAAATGCTTTCCCCATTATATAATTATTGATATAGTGATTCAATTAATTCAAATCAAATTATAAAATAATATTACAAGGAATCATGGGATAGATATGTATATCATAGACAGAAAATGCTGGAATGATGATCCAGTTTTATAGAAGCACCATGCTGATACAGGGATAACATGACCCCGGGGGGGGGGGGCTGATTGTTGCTAGAATCTTGCCATGCTAGACACACATACTCCAACAATGACTACTGTATTATTCTTTTCTGCATTCTTGTCTTCATACATGTACTTTGATATTTCACGAATTTTTATGTTTTTCAACTGTGCCTTCACTATACTATCTCCTATCCTAGTAATTCCTCTCCCAATCTGAGACCCCATCTCTCATCCAAATCAACCCTGTTTTCAATTGTTATGCATTTTAGTTTGATTTCAGGTTTTGCTATGTTTTTTAAAGTGCTTTTAAAAGCCATTGAAATGTTGAATGTTCAGCTTTTATTCCATTTAATGTTATGTATTAGAACTGTAGAGTACAGTGAGGGCATAACACGACTTCTAAACTGGCAGTTATAAGTCTGCTTAAGGCTATAGGTTAATGTTAACATATGATTGGACTAATATACTGCATATTAATTTGTGTTTTGTAAAGGGTGGTGCTTTGAAAGACCCCGAGGAGTCAAACTCAGTATTTCGTTAATTCAAGATGAAAACTCTCCTTCAGACTTACCAGTGAGCACACACAAATCTCACACATGCATGGTAAGACTGCCTGGCCTTTAGCCAGCCACCTGTCTATCAGTCATTTCTTTAGACAAAACCTGTCAAATTTTTATTGAAAATGACCAGTATATTACAAAAATAATCGTAAATACTGTAAAATACTTTATTTTCACTTGGAATTAATTTTCACTATTTTTGCTGAAGAAATGATGAAGTGAGAATTAAATCCAGCGAATATACTAGTACCTTTTTTCTTGTATTTTATATTCAACTTGTCAAAAATCAGTGAAAATAAATTCTATACAACACGCCCAAAAAGTTATTTCAGCGAAAATTAATTCCAGCTAAAACAAAGTATTTTACAGTATCCAACAAAAAATCACTTGTAAGTCTGTGGTTACATTTCGATAAAGTTTTTAAGACAGGCACATTCTATTTCCTGGTGACCGCACTATCCTGTAATGCTAAACTAGTGAAGAGCAATGCTCTTTTATTTTTCGTTCAAATAAATAATAAATGTTTATATTGTAAAATTATACTAACGTATATAATATGTGAACTAACCTTTCACCACGCATACTGGCGATTACTTGGATGCCCTCCCATTCCACCTGTTTCTCTAGTAGAATACCTCTTCTTAGGACAAGGTCCATTTCACCATAGTCCCGGAATGAAGTCCTCCGAGCTTCACAAAATGCCAGGAACACACCTTTATTATACACAATTGCAGGAATTCTGCAAGGCAAGTACAAGATTCAAAGATAAAAAAAAAATTCTGCAAGTATATATATGTAAGTATAGATGCTTTCTATTATTGTGATACTTTAAAAAATCTATGAATAATAGAATTGGTTTGGTAAGTGTTACAGTCTGTGCATGCAAGTTTCCATGGTAATATAATGAAGTCATGGATACAGCCAATCACTGCGGACATCTATATGTATTTAAGTAGCAATTCACCAGGACACTCTGGATGGCTGGCTGATATACAACACTGAGCCATACGAAAATGGCACACTAATTCACAGTATATAAATAAGCTTGGACATTTGCTTTTGTTTTTATGTTTTTTTTTGTTAACTTTGGACCAAATAAACATGATTTTACATT